TTATCTCCCAGAGCAGAGGCAAATCGCCATTTTAAATACAAATCATAAAACACATAAAAATATATAACTTTATAACTGCCGAATGTTTCTCATTCGTGTAACACATCCCCAGATAGCCTGGATCTGAGTGCATATTATTGGCGAATAGCACTCAGATCCCATGCGCATAGTTCAATCGCCATGGAGTCAAAGTCTATTACAGTTCTTCGGTATGCGATTGACTCCATGGGAAGGCTATCTGGGGTAAGTCCATTCGTGCTTTTAAAACCCCCAAACGGCCGGTGTTCGCACACTTCTGTCAATTAGAGAAGGGAGGTCGACGGCATCAACGGTGTTCGGGTGAAAAAGTGTCCGTTTTCAGTTCCATGAATTTAGTACCGAACACCGCTGGTCTTTCGCATGGTTTAAAATGGCCGCCGCCTCGTGGTCGACATACAAACGATGACCACCCTGTATTCGGTTTTAATTGAGAAGTGTCTGTGGTTAACCGCAACGTTCTAATTGGGATCAATAGGTTAACCAGCAGCACACTTCTCTTCTGGGTGGCCATCCGTTCGACAGTTTTGTTCAGTAAAAAAGTCAATTCACTTAAATCCAGGCATTCGAATGGGGGAGTTCGTGGAACAAGCAAACAGACGAACCCAGCAATCTTAGTTCATACGGATGGGTCTGTCACAAGGTCTTTTGCAGTAACTGAGATCTGGTTGCAGCCACTTTTTCTGCCTCATCCAGGTAGTGTAACCACTGTTCTTTCAACTTTGAACTTGTGAGCTATGCTTCTAACAGCATCAACATCAGTGCCTCTTTAATATCTTTTTGTATTCTCTTCCTTGTTTGTGAAAGGCGATGATCTCTTCTCTTAACTTTGTGGACCATTATTTTGACATATTTCTAACATGCAGGCAAACATGACACTTAACAAACCACTAGCCAGTTCAGGTATTCCAAGTGTTACAACTCAAGTGCTTGATTAGTTGCATCAGGTGTGCTTGAGGCAACACCTGTTTTGCATATTTGTGCTGTTGTGAGGGATTCTACTCAGGGGGTGAATACATTTTAGACTGGAAAAGTCATTATACGTCGCATTTTCAGTTTAGTTTGGGGAAAGCACTTAAAGCATTCGTTGTGTTGAGCTATATCAATTGTTTTTGTTTGATTTGACAATAAACCTGATTTTCAATTGAGGTTGAATAATTTTGATTACAACATCATGTTTTTAGTATAGTTATGAATCTACATTCAGCCATAAGGACTGTAAAGGACCAGCCCAAGCACCATAACAGCTTCATGTAAATGAAATGTGCCTAAACTTTCCTTTTAAGGATATATTAATTCCTTAACTCATACACTACTAAGTGATTATGCTTTCAACATATAAAAGATAAATATTTATTTGAAACATTGGATGCATACACATGTGGCCAAAAGTATTGGTAGCCTTCCACTTGTTTAGGAAAATGCACAATTTTCTGTATTTTAAATGTATTAGAACCAGAGCTTGAGTCCAGCAGGTACGCATTCTACTTTTTCCCCACTCTCTGACGCCTGGGGATACTTTTTCCCCAGCAGGAATGATGTTCCCTTTAGGCTAAGAAGCGATAGCCAGGGCATGCTATAAGGCAGAGTAGGTACCTGGTCTGCCTAAATATACAGAGTTCAGGGGAAGTACGGGCTCTGAAGGATCTCTGATGCATACTTGTACTGTCTGCATGACTTGTACTACCTGCACAGCCTTGTCACGCACCCTATAGTGATGCTGGGAGACAGCATTTGACATTACTTTGTCATCACTACATGGTGCACAAGGAGCTGTGCAGGTAGTGCATGTATAGATCAGAGCTACCTTGCTGCCCCTCAGAGCAGAGCAGACCACACAGGACACAGGGAGAGGATGCACTCCAGCTCTCGTTGAAAGGGTTAATGCTGTTCTGGACTCAACTCCCCTCGATTCTCGATTCTCCGGTCACCACATCAATTGACGGGAGTGCTTAACAAGTTCTCCATGAGTATATTTTCAGGGCTTGCATTTATACACAGTTTGTCACGCAAGCAACGAGATTTATCATTTCCTTGTAGTTAATAGTACATGTATGTACGTAGCGGGGAATGTGATGCGACTAAGACTACCCCAATTTCTCTCCCCAATAATGACAAACAACAAATATTGGATGAAACAGGCCACAGCATTTATTAAACTTACAACTGTAGGACTCATCCGAACTTTATTCTTTTTCTTTAATTCAAATATAAATAAACAGATAAATATATACACATACCATAATTAACATATAAATTAACAGTCCTACAGCCTCCAACTTAAATAACCGTCCTTGCCAATGAACTTAACCAGGTGCCTATGCACCAAAACTTTACCCACTGGTGTCTCGCCTCCCAAAAGGCACTGAGGTAAGATGATCCCTGCCCCACTACAAACCCATAACCACTCCCCTAAATCACTAGCACCATCCCCACACTCATACATGTGCACTTGTCCGTTTAGCTATGCTGACTCCCCAGGGCCTTGTATGTACGTAGCGGGGAATGTGGTGCGACTAAGAGTAAGGAGACTACCCCAATTCTCCCCCCAATAATGACAAACAACAAATATTGGATGAAACAGGCCACAGCATTTATTAAACTTACAACTGTAGGACTCATCCGAACTTTACTCTTTTTCTTTAATTCAAATATAAATAAACAGATAAATATATATACATACCATAATTAACATATAAATTAACATATAAATTACACTTATTGCCCTACAGCCTCCAACTTAAATAACCGTCCTTGCCAATGAACTTAACCAGGTATCTATGCATCAAAACTTTACCCACTGGTGTCTCGCCTCCCCCCTCGTCCAAACCAAAAATTCCCATCATCTTAAATGCTCTACCACCAGCCGGCTTTTTGCTAGGTGGGCACGTCCTATTCAGTAACTTAAAAGTTTACCTTACAGAGCAGGGGAGGTTGAGACCCACCATGTCCATCTCCTGACATTCCATCTGCTCCCCAACCCTGTTGGCAAGGACACGCTCCCCGCCACAAACCCCACTGTTTTAAACCTAAAATCAGCAGGGAGCCCCACCAAAACCAACCAGGCCTGTTCCACCACTTTCTGCATGGCAAGACAAAAAAAGGTCTAGCCGGACCTTCATCATCCAGAAACACAGTAGCTGCCACATGCGCGACAACACCCTGTGGCAAACCAAAATCCCCTTACCTTCAAACACCTCGAAAGGCCCTCCAATTTTGCTTCCTACGGCAGCGTAACATGCACTGATTATGGGCCCGCTGCCAAAAGATACGGGAAATGACCTCAGACCAATCGGGGTTATTTATTGATTATTTTCTTTTTTTTTCGAATTTTCTTTTTTTTATTTAAAATCGTTTTTTTTTTTACATTTATTTTTTTAGAACTGCTTTGTTATAACATATGACAAGTCCTGTATAACACATACAGAACTTATAATAATCTCTATAATCATAATCTCTGTTCTGAAACCAAAACGTTAAACATAAATAACCATAACTTAACATATATAACTTAACACACAGGGTCATACAGTGAACCCAACACCACGCATCACGAAAGAACTAAAACACGCACCAATATCCTCTTAGGGGTAGACGCCAAAAAACCACCTTGGTATCGTCCCAAGCTCAATACCCGCCAGGTGGATAACCCGAAAATTAGGGACAGGTGGGACAGCTGAACCTGCTCCAGGAGGAGCCGAACACATTTCATACCTCCGACACCAAACCAGCAAACCTCCGCTTCAGAAGGCACACAACCCAAAAGCTCACCTCCCAGACGGACACCTGCATCTCACCTGGGAGTATAACCAAGAAAAGGACATCCATATATTATCTGTTTTCCAAGTTCACCCTGGGAATTGTTACTTGTACCCAGGGAACTGGTACTCATTTATCTACCTCAAAGAAATGAATAGATGAGCCACCGCCGCTGAGAATTGAACCCGAACCCCCCCAAGGATTGAACAAATTCCACAAAACCAGCATTACTTCACCAAGACATCTCACCATACCCCTTCCCGGTTCTTTGCACCACGTGCGCTGACATACCCATTCTAAAAGCCTCCAAGGCAGCGCTAAACCAAAAGGAATGACACAAGATTCTTTGCTGACTGTCCCCAGAACCATCAGACTTGAGCGAAAGACCCAAAAATTGGGAATGGGAAAGAAAAATAAAAATAAATCACATCCGCATAACTCAAAAGAGGGCCCGTGCATACTGGGGGCAGCTCACAGTTCTCTACAAAGGAAAAGTGCAACAGCCGAACCGCCATACCCTTCTCGAAACAACATTCGACCTGGCTTGTCAAACACTTATAGTGATATGATCTGCAGGGCGCCGACAGGTGGCAAACAATACCCCACGACCGCATGGCCTACTAGGAATCACCAAAACCCCAACATGCATAGCGTCCAGGTGGCCGTGGAAACCGATCCACGAACCCATTCAGTCACTCTGCCAGACTGTCCGCCGGGCAAGGTGTCCCTTCCTGATCCGCCTGCGAGGCGATTGCCCCTTAAGCAAGCGAGGGAAGGAGGCTGTCAGCCGAGTAATGGCTTGAACAACCCCCAAATTGTCGCAGTGACTGCCAGACCTCCCCCACCACCAAAATGGGGAAACACTCCAAAAAGCCCAGATTCTTTGTGAACCCAGAGACATGCCAACTGTCCGGCCACATGAGAGCACACCAGTTAGAGCCCAGAATGGCCCCAAACCCCACCGCGCCAGCTGCGTCCATAAATAGGTGGAGGTCAGCGTTAGAAACCTCCGGCCTTTGCCAGCAGGACTGGCCATGATATGCAGTTAAGAAGGACTCCCAAAATCTCCCGCAGCAGCCGAGTGAGCCGAATGAAATGGCGAGGC